TTGCAAACATCATAAAACTAGAAAAGATTGGTATTTTGTATAATGATCGAATTCTTACTCCAATGTACATATGAAAATAATGAAAATAGGCATCACAAATAATAAGAAAAAAAATCTAAAATAAATAAGTAGCAGTTCAATAGAATTTGTTATCATTCTTAATTACTGGAATTCCATAAAATTTACTGAAAGCATAAGCAAATTCGTAGAGATTGAGATACCGTTTTTGGTCATTCCGACTCTCAAATGGATTCCTTCTATCTTTGCACCTTCCAAAATATAACTGCCACAAATTGAAATAGGGATATATTGGGAGAGAAGAGAATTTACCGCCAATATTTTTTCTAAGCGAGCGGGATTTTCCATCAGTTTTGGGAAGATTTCACAAAATTTAGGGTGAACAAACAGGAAAGCTGGGGTAGTGGTGAGTGGTAGTGGCGTGAAAATGGACTCCATTTTAGTGTTTGGGATGTGAAAAGGCAAATTAATTTAATATCTTCTAAAAATGTTATCTATATAAACTATAAACTAAAGTCCTAAATAGACTCATTTCTAAAATTAATTTGGGTGACAAAACCAAATAACAATCTCACCATTCTAAGTGATAAAGGCCTAAATGGACTAATTTAGGTGATAAATTAATTTTCAATCTAAATTTAATTTGGGTGATGAAGACAAATTAATCCATTTTCTTTTAAAAATGTTATCTATATAAACTATAAAGTAAAAGGCTTAAACGGACTAATTTAGGTGATAGAATTAATTTTCAATCTGAAATTAATTTGGGTGATAAAACTAAATGATATCTAAAATATTTAAGATAATAATTAAATTATTAATTAGTTTAAAACTATCTTGCCTACAATATATTATTCAATTTTCAAAAGATGATGATAAATATAAGTTTGAATTTTAAAATCCACATGAGTATTAATTTTGAGAATCGTGAACTATTCAAATTACTAATTATGTTCATCTCCGATAAACTTCCTATTGATTTATTGATTTTATTTATCTCCATAAAAAGTTGTTTGTCTCGTTTTATTTTACCATATTTTCGTAGAGATATTAACAAAGTCGGTTGCAATTATAAAATAATTTGGATATCAACATACATTTATAATGGAGTTTTAAAATTGTGTACTTATAGACAAATAATACATATCATTAAACTTTTTTTTTTTTAAAATGCACAAGTATTGAGACTGAGATTTTATAAATTATTGTTACCTTTTAAACCAAGTTTTGAAAAAAAAAAAACAATAGTTTGGTAAACAAATAACTCATAAACATTAATAAGTTTATTATCACATGTTCCAAATAAATACATTGTCATAATTTATGGTAATGATATTTAAAGAATACTTTTAGCGTTCAATATATTGTTTTGAAAGACACAGATATAAAGATCTAGATTCTAAAACTTCCATTACCTTGTGAATTAGGATTTCATAAACATAGAGACCGAGACTTTAATGTTGTTCGTTGTTTCTAAGAAAAAATTCTATTAAACATGCACACATAATAGATCTTAGCCAAAATTTTAAAAAAATAATTGGCGCGACTGAAAATCGATTTCTTTAATAACATCTCAACGTACGATAAAGACCAACACAGACTTTTATTTATCGTGGCGGCATACAAAACTATAAGTAAGAACTGGTATCGTTGGAATCTAAATGGAACCCTAAAATCAGAATGATATATTTATAATATGATAATTTACCTGGCAATTCGATAAATCAGTTGTTAGTTTATCATTTTAATATCGTTTATACTTGATTAGCTAAATAATATTTATTATTTTTTTATATTTTTAATCTTGTATAAAAGAACATTAAACATGTATGTTTAAAATATAAAAGTGAGAGAGAGCTTGGATATAAAGAAGGTGAGTCCTTTTTCTTCAGCCCTTTCATTATTCTGCTTTTGAAGAGTTACTAAAGCATTATACTTTGAGGATTAATT